AAACATTCTTTTTTTAAAAGGTGCATTAGGGCAAGTAAGAACTTCATAAATGTAACCAAGTCTCTGGCTGAACGGCACCAGTTGCTTCAGGCTTATCAGTCTTGTGGTCCCTTGTTTAGTCCCCAGGTTCATGTCTCAGCCTCAACGCGGTTCTATCCAGAGCTCTATGACCAGAACATAAAGACAGTGGTTGAAGAATTTGATTTGAACTCAAGTACAGTAGGTCCCATTCCGTTTTGTCGTCTTCATTCACGCTTCTCGGGAATCACGCAGCTGCGTGAAAAATAGTACATCTTATTGCCACAAGGTGGCAGGCTAAGTCCGCTTTAGCTCTGCCAGCGACTTAGACGCTCAGGTATAAGACTGCGTGCAAACCAGATGCTATGTTGGCCGAATGGTTAGCATTAAAGACTGGGACCTGGAGAACCCAGGTTCGATTCTTGTCTGAGGCACATCTTTTGGTTGCTTGTGGCAAAATTGTTTTTTCATTAAACAATTATTATATAACATCTTGTCTTTAATGTCTGAAAAAATCTAGGTGAAATTCACTAGTGTTATACGTTAAATATTGTGATATGTTTTGATAAACCGAACGTTACGTTACATCCTCCGCTCTGGCCCCGGGAGCAGCTGCTGTGACCCCCGCTCTGACAGCTCAGTGAACGCACTGCAGTCTGGGCTCCGAGCGCGGACCATAGACACCCGAACAGAACCACAGACAGGACCATAGACACCCGAACAGAACCACAGACAGGACCATCGACACCCGAACAGAACCACAGACAGGACCATCGACACCCGAACAGAACCACAGACAGGACCATAGACACGCGAACAGAACCACAGACAGGACCATCGACACCCGAACAGAACCACAGACAGGACCATAGACACGCGAACAGAACCACAGACAGGACCATAGACACGCGAACAGAACCACAGACAGGACCATAGACACGCGAACAGAACCACAGACAGGACCATAGACACCCGAACAGAACCACAGACAGGACCATAGACACGCGAACAGAACCACAGACAGGACCATAGACACCCGAACAGAACCACAGACAGGACCATAGACACGCGAACAGAACCACAGACAGGACCATAGACACGCGAACAGAACCACAGACAGGACCATAGACACCCGAACAGAACCACAGACAGGACCATAGACACCCGAACAGAACCACAGACAGGACCATAGACACCCGAACAGAACCACAGACAGGACCATAGACACGCGGACTCGTGTCTCTCTCTCTCTGCTCGCGTCTCTCTCTCTCTCTCTGCTCACGTCTCTCTCTCTCTCTCTCTCTGCTCACGCCTCTCTCTCTCTGCTCACGCCTCTCTCTCTCTGCTCACGCCTCTCTCTCTCTGCTCGCGTCTCTCTCTCTGAGCAGAGAGAGAGACGTGAGCAGAGAGAGACGTGAGCAGAGAGAGATGCGAGCAGAGAGAGAGACGCTCACGCATCTCTCTCTCTGCTCGCGTCTCTCTGCCTCTCCGTGATTTTTTAGGAGGTCTTCTTCTGGTATATACTGTTTTGGCTGACAAAGTTTTATAAGTATTGGTAAAATAATTCCATTTTCAAAGCACGGCGTGATGAAATAAGAGAGAGAGCGAGAGAGAGACCTTGACTCATTTTTAGGCTCAGTGCGCAGGTGTGCAATCAATGAGGAATACATCACAATACCTCATCAAACAAGACCATCTCAGTTTTATCATTGGAGAAAGTTATTAAATTAGCAATTGGCACCTTGACCAAACACTGGATATAAAATCCTAACAATAGTAGTGCTAATATAGGCTAACTGGACATCCCCTTGGCCCTGGGGATTTCATTTTTGGAGAACGAGAAACGAAAAATTTTATGAGTATTTATTGGGTTGGTCTTGGCGACCTAGCCCCGGTGCGGCCTTCAGATCGGATAGGCTCCTCGATTGCTCGCGTACAATCCCCCGGACCTAGGCACTGGGGCGGCAGATTGGAGTGCAGATTGGAGGCAGATTGGAGCCAGATTGGAGGCAGATTGGAGCAGGGTGAAGAGGAGGAGGAGGGGGAGGCGGTGGTTGCGAGGCGTCGAGAAGGCAGAGAGTGGAGTTTGCTCCGCTTATAACGGCTGCCTGTCCGGCACGTATGATTGGAATGGGGCGTTTGCTGAGGCGATGGCTGGGTAAGCCGAACCGGCCTGGAGGGGGTAGCTTTTGGCTGAACGTCTACCAATTGAATTTTCGCTAGCTACATAACAATTTGGAGAGACGAGAAACAGAAAATGTTATGAGTATTTATTGAGGTGTTTTGGCGCCCGTAGGCCCCGGTGCGCTTCAATCGGAGTAGGCTCCTGCGATGGAGCGCGTACATCCCCAAAAAGGTCTGTGTGTGTGATGAGTTTTTGCAGCCTGGTTTGCAGGGAACAGACGTCGAAGGCTACTCTATGCTGTGACCGCTATCGCTATGCGGACCGCTATCGCTATGCTGTGACCGCTATCGCTATGCCTGTGACCGGCTATCGCTATGCTGTGAGCAGCTATATCTATCTGTGAACCGTTTTGCGCTAACATTTTTTGCTATGCTGTGACCGCTAACCTAACGCTATGACACGCTACCACGGATCGCTATGACCCACTATCACAGACGCTAATGACCGCTATCACACGCTATGACCGCTATCACTGACGCTATGACCGCTATCACTGACGCTAGGACCGCTATCCACTAATGTGCTGTGACCGTTATATGCGGTTATCTTTTGAGTGCCGGGACGTGAGCTCGCATCACGATCAACCGACGCTGCGGCAGGGTTAGCTTTGAGCGCTGGGACCTGAGCGCTTGCATCACGATCAACCAGACGCTGCGTCAGGGTATCTTTTGCGCGCTGGGAAACGTTAGCGCTCGCAATACGGTTCCGGCAGACGCTGCGGCAGCGGAGAGGTATTTGAGAGAACAATGCGGCCGCCAAACCAAGAATCTTCATGGTTCACTTACATTTGTTTGAGATGAAGTTGAAGGGTCAGGGGACATAATGTTTGGGTGAAAGAGAGCGACCCTTTGTGTACGCTTCCACTACGTCGAGATTAGCACACATACCGAGATCCTCTTTCTCCGCCACGTCGTTGATTCCACAGCGCGCAGCCACGACCATGGAATAGATCGTGGAGGGCAGAGGAGATGCTGCGGTGGAAAGTAGCGGCCACGGCCCGGCAACCCATGGCCTGAAGATCCCCCAAAACCCACGGAAGGGCACGTCCGGAGTAAAGCGGAGACCTGGAAGATGAGCCGGGGGGGGTAAGTCAGTGCCCGTTTGTGTGTGTTGTGTGTGTGTGTTTGTTTTTTTTTTTTTTTATTTTTTTTTTTTTGTGTTGGGGGGGGGGGGGGGGGGGGGGGGGGGGGGGGGGGGGGGGGGGGGGGGGGGGGGTGGTTTTTGGGGGGGTTTTTTTGCAGGATGGGCAGCATGATTGGGAGCCTGCATCAGAAGAGTGAAGAAAACAGAATGGATGACCTTTGATTAGAGTCCGATTGACTGCTCAGCGCAGCTACTCGGGCCAGCTGCATCTGATAGAATCGGAAGATTAAGTATAGAGATGAAGCATACCGCCGAAGCCCCTGGAGCACAGGTGCGAGTCCAGTGCAGCGCGGCATGCTCAGCCCGGGCTGCGTCCATTAGAAGCAGGATAAGCATCGGAGAGAGTGGGTTGCAGCAGTAGCAGTAGCACAAGCGGCAGCGGCAGTAACCTCAGGATAATAACGCAACGACCTGTATCAGCCGAGCAGCAGCAGCTGCAGCATCCGTATATAATAACGGCAAAAACCCTGTATCAAATGCCACGGCAGTAAAATATGTTGTAGCTGTTTAGTGTTCAGTAAGAGAAGCGAAGTGAAACCTGACCATTAAGTAGAGAAAGGGACGGATCAAAGACGGATGGGTCCGCAGGACCAAATGTTGCCGTGTCTCTGGTTTGAAGAGTCTTCAAACAGCGCCACAACAGATAGCAACGTGAGGGGTTGCTGACAGCTATCAATTCAAGCTGAGAGTGAGAGTGAGAGCCGCGGGGGGGTGGCTGCTATATGGGAAACGGGCCTGCCAAAATAAAGCGGGGCAGGATGAGGCTTCAGCTAGGGACCCGGGTTACATGTGTGTGTGTCATGTGTGTGTGTGGGAGTCATGTGTGTGTGTGTCATGTGTGTGTGTCATGTGTGTGTGTGTGTGTGTGTGTGTGTGTGTGTGTGTGTGTGTGTGTGTGTGTGTCATGTGTGTGTGTGTGTGTCATACGTGTGTGTGTGTGTTTCAGGGTGGAGGGCTGTCTCCCAGTGTGTCCCTCTCACTTGGTGCTGGACGAGGTTACCCACCGCTGTGTTCATCTCCAAGACTGTGAGTCACACACAGCTGTTTAACATCTGCCTGAACATCTGGGCTCGTTGTACAGTCTGACAGTTCAGATGGACCCTCTGATACCTGGGCTCGTTGTACAGTCTGACAGTTCAGATGGACCCTCTGATACCTGGGCTCGTTGTACAGTCTGACAGTTCTGATGGACCCTCTGATACCTGGGCTCGTTGTACAGTCTGACAGTTCAGATGGACCCTCTGATACCTGGGCTCGTTGTACAGTCTGACAGTTCAGATGGACCCTCTGATACCTGGGCTCGTTGTACAGTCTGACAGTTCAGATGGACCCTCTGATACCTGGGCTCGTTGTACAGTCTGACAGTTCAGATGGACCCTCTGATACCTGGGCTCGTTGTACAGTCTGACAGTTCAGATGGACCCTCTGATACCTGGGCTCGTTGTACAGTCTGACAGTTCTGATGGACCCTCTGATACCTGGGCTCGTTGTACAGTCTGACAGTTCTGATGGACCCTCTGATACCTGGGCTCGTTGTACAGTCTGACAGTTCTGATACATCCACAAAAGTTTATGTTATTACTTTTCTCTTCAATTCTAGTTCACGGTTTTCTTCTCTCAACAAACATTATATTTTTGTTTTATATATTGTATATCACATGTTTCTGATCTTCTCCTCAGGTATAAACCCCCCAGTTGGTTCTAAAACAACTTCTGCCAACACCACATTATCTTCTGTAGCGCCCCCTGGAGTCCAAAAGGAACAGTTCACCGCTGGAGTCCCAGATTCTTCCCCAGAGTGGCAGCAGACCACGCCCAGCGCCTCGTACGCCATCTCTGCCTTGTTCTGGTTCACAAACGTCACGTCGACCACCGGCCTGAGCCAAACCACATCAGAGCCCACTGCAGCTGCGGAGACCACCACAAAGACCACATCACCCCTCCCCACACCCGAGACCACGACATTATCCACAACAACTACTGAAACTTTGAGTAGACCAGTAGCAAGTGCGACAACACCCAAGTCATTCCAATCAGCCAAATCAACCAGCAGGCCTTTGAAATCTACCACAAAACCGTCTAAAATGGTGTCAAAATCTACAAAATCAACCACAACGTCGACTCCTTCCCATATGCAAGCTTTGAAACCCACAAAATCCATGGCTGAAGCTTCCAGAACGTCCGGAGAAGCAGCCGAAGTGACAACGAAAGCCGTAGAAACTGGCATGCAGCCCAGTGCGACCACCAAAGATGCTAGCGGAATTAGCACAAAGCATGTGGAGCTACGCACCACAAAGGCTACACAGATGACGGCTACACCACCTGCTACTGAAGCTGGTGAGCTAACCACATTAGCGTCTACATCAAAGGCTGCTGCTACTTCTACTTCTACTACTCCTAAAGTTATTGGTATTAGCACAAAACCTGCAGAAGTTACGATCAAAGCGAGGGAGAAAACAGCTGAACCTCACACAACCAAATATGTAGCAACTGTTACTACTCCTACTGCAAGTACTACAACTACTGAAACTGGAAGAGCAACTAGTACCACAAAAGGTACCATCTCACACAAGCCAGCGCTACATATTCTGGAAGCAACAACTATTCATCCGACAACACAAACTACTCCTTCATATTTACAACCTGAAGAAAGTGCTACTACCACACTTCATACTACTACTACTACTACTACTACGACTACTATAGGCACTACAAAGACCACTTCACTGACCACTCCACCAAGAAAGGCCCAGGTTGTTATTGCTACTACTGCTGCTGCTCCTCCTGTTGGGGAGGAACTGACTCAGGTTACTACCAGAAAAACCACTGGAGTGATTCCTGACGCATTTACGACTAAGTCTACTACAACTGCTGCTTCGATTTCTACTGCAAGAGTTGAAGCTACTTCTGCAAGTCCATTAGATGGAGTAACTGCCAACAGTACTTCCTCTGAGCCATCTTTAGACTGGAAAACAACCAGCAAAGATTCAAAAGCAGAAGAAAAATCAACATTTTCTCATACAACTATGTTATGGACTCCTAGTACTAGTACTGCTTTTTCAACTACCACTTCAACCGCAAAGTCATCCCGGTCCACCTCGGTGCCAAAGACTTTTAAAGTCACTCCAAAATCTGATTTGCCAGAAGAGGCCAAGACAACGAGAGGGCAGATTCCACTGCTAACCACAGACAGGGAAATGCTAACAACGCCAAGAGTGCCAAGTACTTCAAAAGCTTCCACTCGGCCTAATACTACTACTACAACAGCTACTACAAGTACTGCTCAGACTTCACAACTGTGGCATTTTTCTCACGTTACAACAACTACTATAGTACCAAAAGTGACTTCTACTCTTAGTACTTCAACTAGACCATCGATGACGACAGCGACAGTTCCCGTTACCACAGCGACAGTTCCCGTTACCACAGCGACAGTCCCCGTTACCACAGCGACAGTCCCCGTTACCACAGCGACAGTCCCCGTTACCACAGCGACAGTCCCCGTTACCACAGCGACAGTCCATGGTTCTACAGAGACGGGGACCACAGTGAAGGCTGTGAGTGCAGAGAGAGCTCCCCCTGCTGGTGGGATGAGCACAGTGCGTCCTGTGACTACAGCGGTCACCGACAAAGTGGGGGTGAGAAAACTAAACTATATTAAAGTCATAATGAGATGTCTGGTCTTTCCCACTTTCTGAACCTCCGACTGAGTCTTTTTTAGTTCTGTGAATGTGTCCACTGTTTTTATTCTTCTAATTCTGTGTATTTCCATTGACAGGTTTCACAAGCAAGTACAGCAGCAACTACTGCTACTCCCACTACTACTACTGCTGCTACTGCTACTGCTACTGCTACTACTGCTACTGCTGATGCTTCTACTGCACCACCTACTACTACTGCTGCTACTGCTACTGCTACTGCTACTACTGCTACTGCTGATGCTTCTACTGCACCACCTACTACTGCTGCTGCTACTGCTACTGCTACTACTGCTACTACCACTACTACTACTGCTGCTACTGCTACTGCTGGTCTGCATTCAACTACCACGAATGCTTCTACGACTAGTCCTACTTCTGGTACTCCTCACCGTCCATCGTCTCCTTCGGTCACCGCCTCCATCCACTTTTCAAAAACCCCAGAGAAAGTCACCACTGGACTGGTTCCTACAGCAACACCTCCTTCTACACGCCCAACGACCAGAACCACAGTCAGAGCGCCTGTGACCACACGGGTCACCGGCCCAGACACCGCTCTCCAAACCACTGGGGACATTAGTACCACTACTACAGCTTCAGAACCTGCAGTAGGAGACGGTACCACTACTACAGCTGCAGAACCTGCAGAAGGAGACGGTACCACTACTACAGCTGCAGAACCTTCAGTAGGAACCAGTACCACTACTACAGCTGCAGAACCTCCAGGAGGAACCGGTACCACTACTACAGATTCAGAACCTCCAGTAGGAGACGGTACCACTGCTACAGCTGCAGAACCTCCAGGAGGAACCAGTACCAGTACTACAGCTGCAGAACCTTCAGTAGGAACCGGTACCACTACTACAGCTGCAGAACCTTCAGGAGGAACTGGTACCACTACTACAGCTGCAGAACCTTCAGGAGGAGATGGTACCACTACTACAGCTGCAGAACCTTCAGGAGGAGACGGTACCACTGCTACAGCTGCAGAACCTCCAGGAGGAACCGGTACCAGTACTACAGCTGCAGAACCTTCAGTAGGAACCAGTACCAGTACTACAGCTGCAGAACCTTCTGTAGGAACCGGTACCACTACTACAGCTGCAGAACCTTCAGGAGGAGACGGTACCACTACTACAGCTGCAGAACCTTCAGGAGGAGACGGTACCACTACTACAGCTGCAGAACCTCCAGGAGGAGACGGTACCACTACTACAGCTGCAGAACCTTCAGTAGGAACCGGTACCACTACTACAGCTGCAGAACCTTCAGGAGGAGACGGTACCACTACTACAGCTGCAGAACCTTCAGGAGGAGACGGTACCGCTACTACAGCTGCAGAACCTTCAGGAGGAGACGGTACCACTACTACAGCTGCAGAACCTTCAGGAGGAGATGGTACCACTACTACAGCTGCAGAACCTTCAGGAGGAGACGGTACCACTACTACAGCTGCAGAACCTCCAGGAGGAACCGGTACCACTACTACAGCTGCAGAACCTTCAGGAGGAGACGGTACCACTACTACAGCTGCAGAACCTTCAGGAGGAGACGGTACCACTACTACAGCTGCAGAACCTCCAGGAGGAGACGGTACCACTACTACAGCTGCAGAACCTTCAGTAGGAACCGGTACCACTACTACAGCTGCAGAACCTTCAGGAGGAACCGGTACCACTACTACAGCTGCAGAACCTTCAGGAGGAGACGGTACCACTACTACAGCTGCAGAACCTCCAGGAGGAACCGGTACCACTACTACAGCTGCAGAACCTCCAGGAGGCCCACATCCGTCTGTGACATCACTGAGTGAATCTGAAGACAGAGAAACGACCAAAGTGTCTCCGGTCCAGACTTTAACCACAGAAAAGGTTCTGGTTCTGGACTCGCCGCGAACCTGTACAGTGAGTCTGTTTAATACTGCTGTGTGTCTCTGGTTGTGTGTGGTACATATGTCTGATGTTGTGTGTCTCTGGTTGTGTGTAGTACATATGTCTGATGTTGTGTGTCTCTGGTTGTGTGTAGTACATATACCTGATGCTGTGTGTCTCTGGTTGTGTGTAGTACATATACCTGATGTTGTGTGTCTGTGGTTGTGTGTGGTACATATGTCTGATGTTGTGTGTCTCTGGTTGTGTGTAGTACATATGTCTGATGTTGTGTGTCTGTGGTTGTGTGTAGTACATATACCTGATGTTGTGTGTCTGTGGTTGTGTGTAGTACATATGTCTGATGTTGTGTGTCTCTGGTTGTGTGTAGTACATATACCTGATGCTGTGTGTCTGTGGTTGTGTGTGGTACATATATCTGATGTTGTGTGTCTGTGGTTGTGTGTAGTACATATACCTGATGTTGTGTGTCTGTGGTTGTGTGTGGTACATATACCTGATGCTGTGTGTCTCTGGTTGTGTGTGGTACATATGTCTGATGTTGTGTGTCTCTGGTTGTGTGTAGTACATATGTCTGATGTTGTGTGTCTGTGGTTGTGTGTAGTACATATACCTGATGTTGTGTGTCTGTGGTTGTGTGTAGTACATATGTCTGATGTTGTGTGTCTCTGGTTGTGTGTAGTACATATGTCTGATGTTGTGTGTCTCTGGTTGTGTGTAGTACATATACCTGATGCTGTGTGTCTGTGGTTGTGTGTGGTACATATATCTGATGTTGTGTGTCTGTGGTTGTGTGTAGTACATATACCTGATGTTGTGTGTCTGTGGTTGTGTGTGGTACATATACCTGATGTTGTGTGTAGTACATATGTCTGATGTTGTGTGTCTCTGGTTGTGTGTAGTACATATGTCTGATGTTGTGTGTCTGTGGTTGTGTGTAGTACATATGTCTGATGTTGTGTGTCTCTGGTTGTGTGTAGTACATATACCTGATGTTGTGTGTCTGTGGTTGTGTGTAGTACATATGTCTGATGTTGTGTGTCTCTGGTTGTGTGTAGTACATATACCTGATGTTGTGTGTCTGTGGTTGTGTGTAGTACATATGTCTGATGTTGTGTGTCTCTGGTTGTGTGTAGTACATATGTCTGATGCTGTGTGTCTCTGGTTGTGTGTAGTACATATACCTGATGCTGTGTGTCTGTGGTTGTGTGTAGTACATATACCTGATGTTGTGTGTCTGTGGTTGTGTGTAGTACATATACCTGATGTTGTGTGTCTGTGGTTGTGTGTAGTACATATGTCTGATGTTGTGTGTCTCTGGTTGTGTGTAGTACATATGTCTGATGTTGTGTGTCTCTGGTTGTGTGTAGTACATATGTCTGATGTTGTGTGTCTCTGGTTGTGTGTAGTACATATGTCTGATGTTGTGTGTCTCTGGTTGTGTGTAGTACATATGTCTGATGCTGTGTGTCTCTGGTTGTGTGTAGTACATATGTCTGATGTTGTGTGTCTCTGGTTGTGTGTAGTACATATGTCTGATGCTGTGTGTCTCTGGTTGTGTGTAGTACATATGTCTGATGTTGTGTGTCTGTGGTTGTGTGTCTACAGCCTCCCTTTGCTGAGGTGGTGGATGACTGTTCTAAACTCATCTGTGTGAACAATCAGCTCGTTCTCTTCAACAAGTCCCAGAGCTGCCCTTTGACCTCTGACCCCCCCAACTGTGGCCTGCTGGGGGTCGCTGTGCTGCTGAACGGAGACAAGTGCTGCCCCCAGTGGGACTGTCCATGTACTGCACCCTACTCCACACACACACACACACACACACACACACACACACACACACACACACACACACACACACACACACACACACACACACACACACACACACACACACACACACACACAGACACACACACACAGAGACACAGACACACACACATAGACACTGACACACACACGCACAGACAAATACATACAAACCCTCCCTCTTCTCAGACCTGGTACTGACCTCTCTCTCCCCCGTCTCCCCCCTCTCCCCCGCAGGTCGCTGCTCCCTCTTCTCAGACCTGGTACTGACCTCTCTCTCCCCCGTCTCCCCCCTCTCCCCCGTCTCCCCCCTCTCCCCCGCAGGTCGCTGCTCCCTCTTCTCAGACCTGGCGGTGGTGACCTTCGATGGTAACTCCGCGGCGGTGTCTCAGGCGGCGGATTACGTCATCACTGAGCTGCAGGACGAGACTCTGACTGTGTCTGTGGAGGAGTGCCCTGCCCACGCCAGCTCCCCGGTCTGTCCTCCCCCAACTCACCCCTGACTCCCCCATACTCGCCCACGCCAGCTCCCCGGTCTGTCCTCCCCCAACTCCCCCCTGACTCCCCCATACTCGCCCACGCCAGCTCCCCGGTCTGTCCTCCCCCAACTCACCCCTGACTCCCCCATACTCGCCACGCCAGCTCCCCGGTCTGTCCTCCCCCAACTCACCCCTGACTCCCCCATACTCGCCACGCCAGCTCCCCGGTCTGTCCTCCCCCAACTCACCCCTGACTCCCCCATACTCGCCACGCCAGCTCCCCGGTCTGTCCTCCCCCAACTCACCCCTGACTCCCCCATACTCGCCCACGCCAGCTCCCCGGTCTGTCCTCCCCCAACTCACCCCTGACTCCCCCATACTCGCCCACGCCAGCTCCCCGGTCTGTCCTCCCCCAACTCCCCCCTGACTCCCCCATACTCGCCCACGCCAGCTCCCCGGTCTGTCCTCCCCCAACTCACCCCTGACTCCCCCATACTCGCCACGCCAGCTCCCCGGTCTGTCCTCCCCCAACTCACCCCTGACTCCCCCCATACTCGCCACGCCAGCTCCCCGGTCTGTCCTCCCCCAACTCACCTCTGACTCCCCCATACTCGCCACGCCAGCTCCCCGGTCTGTCCTCCCCCAACTCACCCCTGACTCCCCCATACTCGCCACGCCAGCTCCCCGGTCTGTCCTCCCCCAACTCACCTCTGACTCCCCCATACTCGCCCACGCCAGCTCCCCGGTCTGTCCTCCCCCAACTCACCTCTGACTCCCCCATACTCGCCACGCCAGCTCCCCGGTCTGTCCTCCCCCAACTCACCTCTGACTCCCCCATACTCGCCCACGCCAGCTCCCCGGTCTGTCCTCCCCCAACTCACCCCTGACTCCCCCATACTCGCCACGCCAGCTCCCCGGTCTGTCCTCCCCCAACTCACCCCTGACTCCCCCATACTCGCCACGCCAGCTCCCCGGTCTGTCCTCCCCCAACTCACCCCTGACTCCCCCATACTCGCCCACGCCAGCTCCCCGGTCTGTCCTCCCCCAACTCACCCCTGACTCCCCCATACTCGCCACGCCAGCTCCCCGGTCTGTCCTCCCCCAACTCACCCCTGACTCCCCCATACTCGCCACGCCAGCTCCCCGGTCTGTCCTCCCCCAACTCACCTCTGACTCCCCCATACTCGCCACGCCAGCTCCCCGGTCTGTCCTCCCCCAACTCACCCCTGACTCCCCCATACTCGCCACGCCAGCTCCCCGGTCTGTCCTCCCCCAACTCACCTCTGACTCCCCCATACTCGCCACGCCAGCTCCCCGGTCTGTCCTCCCCCAACTCACCCCTGACTCCCCCATACTCGCCACGCCAGCTCCCCGGTCTGTCCTCCCCCAACTCACCCCTGACTCCCCCATACTCGCCCACGCCAGCTCCCCGGTCTGTCCTCCCCCAACTCACCTCTGACTCCCCCATACTCGCCACGCCAGCTCCCCGGTCTGTCCTCCCCCAACTCACCCCTGACTCCCCCATACTCGCCACGCCAGCTCCCCGGTCTGTCCTCCCCCAACTCACCTCTGACTCCCCCATACTCGCCACGCCAGCTCCCCGGTCTGTCCTCCCCCAACTCACCCCTGACTCCCCCATACTCGCCCACGCCAGCTCCCCGGTCTGTCCTCCCCCAACTCACCCCTGACTCCCCCATACTCGCCACGCCAGCTCCCCGGTCTGTCCTCCCCCAACTCACCCCTGACTCCCCCATACTCGCCACGCCAGCTCCCCGGTCTGTCCTCCCCCAACTCACCTCTGACTCCCCCATACTCGCCACGCCAGCTCCCCGGTCTGTCCTCCCCCAACTCACCCCTGACTCCCCCATACTCGCCCACGCCAGCTCCCCGGTCTGTCCTCCCCCAACTCACCTCTGACTCCCCCATACTCGCCACGCCAGCTCCCCGGTCTGTCCTCCCCCAACTCACCCCTGACTCCCCCATACTCGCCACGCCAGCTCCCCGGTCTGTCCTCCCCCAACTCACCCCTGACTCCCCCATACTCGCCACGCCAGCTCCCCGGTCTGTCCTCCCCCAACTCACCCCTGACTCCCCCATACTCGCCCACGCCAGCTCCCCGGTCTGTCCTCCCCCAACTCACCCCTGACTCCCCCATACTCGCCCACGCCAGCTCCCCGGTCTGTCCTCCCCCAACTCACCCCTGACTCCCCCATACTCGCCCACGCCAGCTCCCCGGTCTGTCCTCCCCCAACTCACCCCTGACTCCCCCATACTCGCCCACGCCAGCTCCCCGGTCTGTCCTCCCCCAACTCACCTCTGACTCCCCCATACTCGCCCACGCCAGCTCCCCGGTCTGTCCTCCCCCAACTCACCCCTGACTCCCCCATACTCGCCACGCCAGCTCCCCGGTCTGTCCTCCCCCAACTCACCCCTGACTCCCCCATACTCGCCACGCCAGCTCCCCGGTCTGTCCTCCCCCAACTCACCCCTGACTCCCCCATACTCGCCCACGCCAGCTCCCCGGTCTGTCCTCCCCCAACTCACCCCTGACTCCCCCATACTCGCCCACGCCAGCTCCCCGGTCTGTCCTCCCCCAACTCACCCCTGACTCCCCCATACTCGCCACGCCAGCTCCCCGGTCTGTCCTCCCCCAACTCACCCCTGACTCCCCCATACTCGCCCACGCCAGCTCCCCGGTCTGTCCTCCCCCAACTCACCCCTGACTCCCCCATACTCTCCCACGCCAGCTCCCCGGTCTGTCCTCCCCCAACTCACCCCTGACTCCCCCATACTCGCCACGCCAGCTCCCCGGTCTGTCCTCCCCCAACTCACCCCTGACTCCCCCATACTCGCCACGCCAGCTCCCCGGTCTGTCCTCCCCCAACTCACCCCTGACTCCCCCATACTCGCCACGCCAGCTCCCCGGTCTGTCCTCCCCCAACTCACCTCTGACTCCCCCATACTCGCCCACGCCAGCTCCCCGGTCTGTCCTCCCCCAACTCACCCCTGACTCCCCCATACTCGCCACGCCAGCTCCCCGGTCTGTCCTCCCCCAACTCACCCCTGACTCCCCCATACTCGCCACGCCAGTTCCCCGGTCTGTCCTCCCCCAACTCACCCCTGACTCCCCCATACTCGCCACGCCAGCTCCCCGGTCTGTCCTCCCCCAACTCACCCCTGACTCCCCCATACTCGCCACGCCAGCTCCCCGGTCTGTCCTCCCCCAACTCACCCCTGACTCGCCCATACTCGCCCACGCCAGCTCCCCGGTCTGTCCTCCCCCAACTCACCCCTGACTCCCCCATACTCGCCACGACAGCTCCCCGGTCTGTCCTCCCCCAACTCACCCCTGACTCCCCCATACTCGCCACGCCAGCTCCCCGGTCTGTCCTCCCCCAACTCACCCCTGACTCCCCCATACTCGCCCACGCCAGCTCCCCGGTCTGTCCTCCCCCAACTCACCCCTGACTCCCCCATACTCGCCACGCCAGCTCCCCGGTCTGTCCTCCCCCAACTCACCCCTGACTCGCCGTCACAGTCTGTAGATGTTGTTCCTCTCAGTTCTAACCTTTCTTCTTCTTCTTCTCTTTCCTCTTCTTCTCCTTCTTTTTCTCCTTCTCCTTCCTCCTCCTCTCACTCTTCCTCTTCCTCCACCTCTTCCTCTTCCTCTTCCTCTCCTGCAGCTGCTGTGGAACTTCACTCACCTGTGCCTCGTGGCTCTGAACATCACTCACAAAGAAAACCACATCGTCCTGAACCGACTCCAGCGAAGGGTGAGACCAGGACTGAGACCAGGACTGAGACCAGAGACCAGGACTGAGACCAGAGACCAGGACTGAGACCAGGACTGAGACCTGCTCCTTCTGAATCCGAGATTCGGCCGTAGCCTCCTCTCCAGTACCTTGGAGTAGACCTTACCGGGGAGGCTGAGGAGTGTGATCCCACGATAATTGGAACACACCCTCCGGTCCCCCTTCTTATAGAGAGGGACCACCACCCCGGTCTGAGAGGGACCACCACCCAGGTCTGAGAGGGACCACCACCCCGGTCTGAGAGGGACCACCACCCAGGTCTGAAAGGGACCACCACCCCGGTCTGAGAGGGACCACCACCCAGGTCTGAGAGGGACCACCACCCCGGTCTGAGAGGGACCACCACCCAGGTCTGAGAGGGACCACCACCCAGGTCTGAGAGGGACCACCACCCAGGTCTGAGAGGGACCACCACCCCGGTCTGAGAGGGACCACCACCCAGGTCTGAGGGGTCACCGAGGTCTCCGCCTTCGACTGCTGCCCAGTCCTCTCTGCACCTCTCCACCATGGATCCCTCTGTGGGTGGAGGGTCCACAGGAGGCTGAGCGGCCGGACCCCGTGGGCTAAGGCCCGGCCACCAGGCGCTCGCTCTCGAGCCCCAACCTGGCCTGGCTCCAGGGTGGGGCCTCGGCTGCTCCATACCGGGCAACGTCACTGGTTCCTTTATAGTGCGATCCATGGTGGTTTTGGACTGCGCTTTGTCTGACTCGTCACCCGAGACCTGTGTACCATGGGAGACCCTACCAGGGGCATAAAGACCTGTGTACCATGGGAGACCCTACCAGGGGCATAAAGACCTGTGTACCATGGGAGACCCTACCAGGGGCATGAAGACCTGTGTACCATGGGAGACCCTACCAGGGGCATGAAGACCTGTGTACCATGGGAGACCCTACCAGGGGCATAAAGACCTGTGTACCATGGGAGACCCTACCAGGGGCATAAAGACCTGTGTACCATGGGAGACCCTACCAGGGGCATAAAGACCTGTGTACCATGGGAGACCCTACCAGGGGCATGAAGACCTGTGTACCATGGGAGACCCTACCAGGAGCATGAAGACATGTGTACCATGGGAGACACTACCAGGAGCATGAAGACCTGTGTACCATGGGAGACACTACCAGGAGCATGAAGACCTGTGTACCATGGGAGACACTACCAGGAGCATGAAGACCTGTGTACCATGGGAGACACTACCAGGGACATAAAGACCTGTGTACCATGGGAGACACTACCAGGAGCATGAAGACCTGTGTACCATGGGAGACACTACCAGGGACATAAAGACCTGTGTACCATGGGAGATCCTACCAGGAGCATGAAGACCTGTGTACCATGGGAGACCCTACCAGGGACATAAAGACCTGTGTACCATGGGAGACCCTACCAGGGACATAAAGACCTGTGTACCATGGGAGACACTACCAGGAGCATGAAGACCTGTGTACCATGGGAGACCCTACCAGGGGCATAAAGACCTGTGTACCATGGGAGACCCTACCAGGAGCATGAAGACATGTGTACCATGGGAGACACTACCAGGAGCATGAAGACCTGTGTACCATGGGAGACACTACCAGGAGCATGAAGACCTGTGTACCATGGGAGACCCTACCAGGGGCATAAAGACCTGTGTACCATGGGAGACACTACCAGGAGCATGAAGACCTGTGTACCATGGGAGACACTACCAGGAGCATGAAGACCTGTGTACCATGGGAGACACTACCAGGAGCATGAAGACCTGTGTACCATGGGAGACACTACCAGGGACATAAAGACCTGTGTACCATGGGAGACCCTACCAGGAGCATGAAGACCTGTGTACCATGGGAGACCCTACCAGGGACATAAAGACCTGTGTACCATGGGAGACCCTACCAGGGACATAAAGACCTGTGTACCATGGGAGACACTACCAGGAGCATGAAGACCTGTGTACCATGGGAGACCCTACCAGGAGCATGAAGACCTGTGTACCATGGGAGACACTACCAGGAGCATGAAGACCTGTGTACCATGGGAGACCCTACCAGGGACATAAAGACCTGTGTACCATGGGAGACCCTACCAGGGACATAAAGACCTGTGTACCATGGGAGACACTACCAGGAGCATGAAGACCTGTGTACCATGGGAGACCCTACCAGGAGCATGAAGACCTGTGTACCATGGGAGACACTACCAGGAGCATAAAGACCTGTGTACTATGGGAGGCCCTACCAGGAGCATGAAGATCTGTGTACTATGGGAGACCCTACCAGGAGCATAAAGACCTGTGTACCATGGGAGACACTACCAGGAGCATGAAGACCTGTGTACCATGGGAGACACTACCAGGAGCATGAAGACCTGTGTACCATGGGAGACACTACCAGGAGCATGAAGACCTGTGTACCATGGGAGACCCTACCAGGAGCATGAAGACCTGTGTACCATGGGAGACCCTACCAGGAGCATGAAGATCTGTGTACCATGGGACGCCCTACCAGGAGCATAAAGACCTGTGTACTATGGGAGACCCTACCAGGAGCATGAAGACCTGTGTACCATGGGAGACACTACCAGGAGCATGAAGACCTGTGTACCATGGGAGACACTACCAGGAGCATGAAGACCTGTGTACCATGGGAGACACTACCAGGAGCATGAAGACCTGTGTACCATGGGAGACACTACCAGGAGCATGAAGACCTGTGTACCATGGGAGACACTACCAGGAGCATGAAGACCTGTGTACCATGGGAGACACTACCAGGAGCATGAAGACCTGTGTACCATGGGAGACACTACCAGGAGCATGAAGACCTGTGTACCATGGGAGACACTACCAGGAGCATGAAGACCTGTGTACCATGGGAGACACTACCAGGAGCATGAAGACCTAGCCTGACTCTCTCCAGAGCCATGTAGTTGGCTGCACTTCACACATGAGTCTGGTACTGAGCCATAGTGGTTGGATTTCAGAAGGCAGGGCCTTCCTTGTATGTGATTGGATAGACCACTTGTCCGTTATCTTGAATGAAGTCTGCTTTCAGCCACTCACATCGAAGCACACGGCTCCCATAGGTTGCCAAATCCCAGCAAGATTTTCCAACCCAAAATCCTCGAGAATACCCACAAAAAACACTCAGAATGATTTTTTGGCTAAAAACGTAATGTAATCAACTTGGGCTATCATGATTCTGTTTATTGTCTTTCTGTTTATTTAATACCTACAAGTCTCTTGGAAAAAAATATGCGGGAACCACCGAACCTGGCAACCCTGCTGCAGAGTGTGTAAACAGGAACACTGAACCAGTGCTTCAACCAAACTTTACAGGAACATTTGACTCTTAAAACACACATATATCAACATAGAACCATCAACATAGAACCATCAACATAGAACCATCAACATAGAACCATCAACATAGAACCATCAACATAGAACCATCAACATAGAACCATCAACATCTCGCCTCTAATAGCATTAAAAGTGACATCCGTGTCTTAATTCGATCGTATTTACTCTTTTAAAAAGATTCACCGACTTTACGTCCGCCATCTTGGATTCCTCTCGCTGCTGCATGAGAGAAGCTTGAGAAGGCAGTGCAAACCCCACGTAACACCGGCCATCCTGATTGGTCGATTAAAAAATAATCTGGGGAAGACGTTCGCTATGGCGTCGTTACCAGACCCATGTGGTTCAGCCAAACGCCTCTGGTGGAGCATGGCGGAACTACAAGGGTCTGGCAGAGCCAGGCTAATAAAGACCTGTGTACCATGGGAGACCCTACCAGGAGCATGAAGGCCCAGACAGCAAAGCTCCCAGGACCATCGGAGTCCTCAGACTCCAGGGGGAGGTCCAATACCATGTGTTTTATATTGTTTGTGTGTCTTCTCTGGTCTGTGTTGGTGATTTCAATGGTTTTGTTAAGTCTCTGAGAAACTGCAGCAATTTAGGGAAATACAAGAACACACTGATTTGAAGCTGTGTTTTCTTGTCTCTAACTAAACCATATTTACAGATGTTTGTGTCTGGTTCTGTTTTTCAGCTGTACGTGAACTCTCGTTACGCCAAACCTCGGTTTAAGAAGTTTGGGTTTGAGATTTATGACACGGGGAACATGTACCTGGTGCGGACCCCGGCGGGACTGAGGCTGCAGTGGTTCCACTCCACCGGGACCATGGTGGTGGACACTGAGGCGCACCACAACAGGCTGACCACCAGGGGGCTCTGTGGTGAGGCTCCTCCCCATGTTCATCTAGTGCTAACAGTCTTCCCAGGGTTCTGTGACGGAGACCCGACTAACGACCTGACTCTTGTGACGGAGACCCGACTAACCACTTGACTCTTGTGACGGAGACCCGACTAACGACCTGACTCTTGTGACGGAGACCCGACTAACCACCTGACTCTTGTGACGGAGACCCGACTAACCACCTGACTCTTGTGACGGAGACCCGACTAACGACCTGACTCTTGTGACAAAGACCCGACTAACGACCTGACTCTTGTGACAAAGACTTGACTAACCACCTGACTCTTGTGACAGAGACCCGACTAACCACCTGACTCTTGTGACGGAGACCCGACTAACGACCTGACTCTTGTGACGGAGACCCGACTAACGACCTGACTCTTGTGACGGAGACCCGACTAACCACCTGACTCTTGTGACGGAGACCCGACTAACGACCTGACTCTTGTGACAAAGACCCGACTAACGACTTGACTCTTGTGACGGAGACCCGACTAACGACCTGACTCTTGTGACAGAGACCCGACTAACCACCTGACTCTTGTGACAGAGACCCGACTAACCACCTGACTCTTGTGACGGAGACCCGACTAACCACCTGACTCTTGTGACAGAGACCCGACTAACCACCTGACTCTTGTGACGGAGACCCGACTAACGACTTGACTCTTGTGACGGAGACCCGACTAATGACCTGACTCTTGTGACAGAGACCCGACTAATGACCTGACTCTTGTGACAGAGACCCGACTAACCACCTGACTCTTGTGACGGAGACCCGACTAACGACTTGACTCTTGTGACGGAGACCCGACTAACGACCTGACTCTTGTGACAGAGACCCGACTAACCACCTGACTCTTGTGACGGAGACCCGACTAACGACTTGACTCTTGTGACGGAGACCCGACTAATGACCTGACTCTTGTGACAGAGACCCGACTAACCACCTGACTCTTGTGACAGAGACCCGACTAACCACCTGACTCTTGTGACGGAGACCCGACTAACGACTTGACTCTTGTGACGGAGACCCGACTAACCACCTGACTCTTGTGTCCAGGGTTTTGTGACGGAGACCCGACTAACGACCTGACTCTTGTGACGGAGACCTGATTAACGACCTGACTCTTGTGACAGAGACCCGACTAACGACCTGACTCTTGTTGCGGAGACCCGACTAACGACCTGACTCTTGTTGCGGAGACCCGACTAACGACCTGACTCTTGTGACAGAGACCCGACTAACCACCTGACTCTTGTGTCCAGGGTTTTGTGACGGAGACCCGACTAACGACCTGACTCTTGTGACAGAGACCCGACTAACGACCTGACTCTTGTGACGGAGACCCGATTAACGACCTGACTCTTGTGACAGAGACCCGACTAACGACCTGACTCTTGTTGCGGAGACCCGACTAACGACCTGACTCTTGTGACAGAGACCCGACTAACCACCTGACTCTTGTGTCCAGGGTTCTGTGACGGAGACCCGACTAACGACCTGACTCTTGTGACAGAGACCCGACTAACCACCTGACTCTTGTGTCCAGGGTTCTGTGACGGAGACCCGACTAACGACCTGACTCTCCCTGATGGTTCCGTGTCCAACAGTGAAGTGTTCGTCCACAGTTGGACCGTGGCCAACACCAGCTCGTCCTTCAGCCTCATCAGACGCAGAGACAAGAACTGTTCCACCAGCGACTGCTCGCACTGCCTCAGCCTCCTGCAGGGGGCGCCCTACTGGGCCTGCCACCCATATGTACGCACACTCACATTGACACACACTGACACAGCACTGACACACACTGACACAACACAACACTGACACACAATGACACAACACAACACTGACACACAATGACACAACAAGGTTCCTTTGATGTGGTTCCATTGACCTTGTTCCTTTGATGTGGTTCCTTTGATCTGGTTCCATTGACCTTGTTCCTTTGATCTGGTTCCATTGACCTTGTTCCTTTGATGTGGTTCCTTTGATCTGGTTCCTTTGATGTGGTTCCTTTGATCTGGTTCCATTGACCTTGTTCCTTTGATCTGGTTTCCTTTGATCTGGTTCCTTTGATGTGGTTCCTTTGATCTGGTTCCTCTGTGTGGTAGGTTCCTCCCAGTACCTTCTGTGAGCTGTGGGTGCGGGATGCAGAGTATGTGAATAACGAGTGTGTGGCGCTGTCTGCGTACGTCGCCTCCTGCCACAAGTTCAACATCTGCATTGAGTGGAGGAGCCGCGAGAACTGCCGTGAGTGCCCAGGGTTAGGGTTTGTAGCCCCCCGTTTACTCAGGGGGTGGGCTCTGTGTGAGGGTGGGCTCTGTCTGAGGGTGGGCTCTATGTGAGGGTGGGCTCTGTCTGAGGGTGGGCTCTATGTGAGGGTGGGCTCTGTCTGAGGGTGGGCTCTGTCTCGTATACATGGTTTTACATATAGATTGTTCTCTGTCTCCATGACGACAGCCTTCACGTGTCCTGACGGCCTCCAGTACCAGTCGTGTCTTGGCGCCTGCTCCGCCTCCTCGTGCCCAGACCAGGACTTTGACTCGGACCCGGACCAGTGCTCAGGCCTCACAGAGGGATGTGTGTGTCCAGAGGGAACCCTGCTCCACCGGCCCTACTCTGCACTCTGCATCCGGCCTGACCAGTGTGGTAAGAACTCTGACCTGACCAGTGTGGTAAGAACTCTGACCTGACTAGTGTGGTAAGAACGCTGACCTGACCAGTGTGGTAAGAACGCTGACCTGACCAGTGTGGTAAGAACTCTGACCTGACTAGTGTGGTAAGACCTCTGACCTGACCAGTGAGAACTTGACCAGTGTGGTAAGAAATGTAACCTGACCAGTGTGAACCCTGACCTGACCTGTAAGAAGTCTGACCTGACCAGTGAGAACCTGACCAGCAACAACTTTGAGGGTGAGTAACTTTCAGGTGACACGATGTCGCAGCCTGCACAGACAGACCTCTCATGTGTGTGTGTGTGTGTGTGTGTGTCGCAGCCTGCACAGACAGATCTCTCATGTGTGTGTGTGTGTGTCGCAGCCTGCACAGACAGACCTCTCATGTGTGTGTGTGTGTGTGTGTGTGTGTGTCGCAGCCTGCACAGACAGATCTCTCATGTGTGTGTGTGTGTGTGTTGTGTGTGTGTCGCAGCCTGCACAGACAGACCTCTCATGTGTGTGTGTGTGTGTGTGTGTGTGTGCGTGTGTCGCAGCCTGCACCGACAGACCTCTCATGTGTGTGTGTGTGTGTGTCGCAGCCTGCACCGACAGACCTCTCATGTGTGTGTGTGTGTGTCGCAGCCTGCACAGACAGACCTCTCATGTGTGTGTGTGTGTGTGCGTGTGTGTGTCGCAGCCTGCACAGACAGACCTCTCATGTGTGTGTGTGTGTGTGTGTCGCAGCCTGCACAGACAGACCTCTCATGTGTGTGTGTGTGTGTGTGCGTGTGTGTGTCGCAGCCTGCACAGACAGACCTCTCATGTGTGTGTGTGTTTTTTTTTTGTGTGTCGCATCCTGCACAGACAGACCTCTCATGTGTGTGTGTGTGTGTGTGTGTGTCGCAGCCTGCACAGACAGACCTCTCATGTGTGTGTTTGTGTGTGTGTGTCGCAGCCTGCACAGACAGACCTCTCATGTGTGTGTGTGTTTTTTGTGTGTGTCGCATCCTGCACAGACAGACCTCTCATGTGTGTGTGTCGCAGCCTGCACAGACAGACCTCTCATGTGTGTGTGTGTGTGTGTGTGCGTCGCAGCCTGCACAGACAGCGCCGGCCTCCCTCGGGCCCATGGGGAGGTGTGGAGGACCTCCCATGACGCCTGCTGCATGTATCGCTGTGAGAACGACACTGTGGTCCCTGTGGAGGTGGTCTGCTCTGCTGCAGTTCCACAGTGTCACAGACAGGGGGAGGTAGTGGTCAGCCTGGCCGAGGACACCAGCTGCTGCCCCCTCAAGCTCTGCGGTGAGTCTGTGTGTGTGTGTGTTCAGTGTGTAACAGACTAATGTGTGTGTTCAGTGTGTAACAGACTAATGTGTGTGTTCAGTGTGTAATAGACTAATGTGTGTGTTCAGTGTGTAACAGACTAATGTGTGTGTTCAGTGTGTAACAGACTAATGTGTGTGTTCAGTGTGTAACAGACTAATGTGTGTGTTCAGTGTGTAACAGATTAATGTGTGTGTTCAGTGTGTAACAGACTATTGTGTGTGTTCAGTGTGTAACAGACTATTGTGTGTGTTCAGTGTGTAACCAGAGCCTGTGTGAGCTGCCTCCTCTGTGCGACTACGGAGAGAAGCTGGTGTCGTACTTCAGAGATGACTCCTGCTGCGCCTCATTCTTCTGCGGTGAGTCGACTCACCCTCACCCTCACCCTGACCCTCACCCTCACCCTGACCCTCACCCTGACCCTCACCCTGACCCTCACCCTGACCCTCACCCTGACCCTCACCCTGACCCTGACCCTCACCCTGACCCTCACCTTGACCCTGACCCTCACCCTGACACTCACCCTCACCCTGACCCTGACCCTCACCCTGACCCTCACCTTGACCCTGACCCTCACCCTGACCCTCACCCTCACCTTGACCCTGACCCTCACCCTGACCCTCACCCTGACCCTGACCCTGACCCTCACCCTGACCCTCACCCTCACCTTGACCCTCACCCTGACCCTCACCCTGACCCTCACCTTGACCCTCACCCCTCACCCTGACCCTGACACTCACCCTCACCCTCACCCTGACCCTCACCCTGACCTTGACCCTCACCCTGATCCTCACCCTGATCCTCACCCTGATCCTCACCCTCACCCTGACCCTCACCCTCCCCCTGACCCTGACCCTCACCCTGACCCTGACCCTCACCCTGATCCTCACCCTGATCCTCACCCTGATCCTCACCCTGACCCTCACCCTGACCCTCACCCTGACCCTCACCCTGACCCTGACCCTCACCCTGACCCTCACCCTGATCCTCACCCTGATCCTCACCCTGATCCTCACCCTGATCCTCACCCTGATCCTCACCCTGATCCTCACCCTCACCCTGACCCTCACCCTGACCCTGACCCTCACCCTGACCCTCACCCTGACCCTGACCCTCACCCTGACCCTCACCCTGATCCTCACCCTGAACCTCACCCTGATCCTCACCCTGACCCTCACCCTGACCCTCACCCTGACCCTCACCCTGACCCTGACCCTCACCCTGACCCTCACCCTGATCCTCACCCTGATCCTCACCCTGACCCTGACCCTCACCCTGACCCTCACCCTGATCCTCACCCTGATCCTCACCCTGATCCTCACCCTCACCCTGACCCTGACCCTCACCCTGATCCTCACCCTGATCCTCACCCTCACCCTGACCCTGACCCTCACCCTGACCCTGACCCTCACCCTGACCCTCACCCTGATCCTCACCCTGATCCTCACCCTGATCCTCACCCTCACCCTGACCCTGACCCTCACCTTGACCCTCACCCTGACCCTGACCCTCACCCTGACCCTCACCCTGACCCTGACCCTGACCCTCACCCTGACCCTCACCCTGATCCTCACCCTCACCTTGACCCTCACCCTGATCCTCACCCTCACCCTCACCTTGACCCTCACCCTGACCCTCACCCTCACCTTGACCCTCACCCTGACCCTCACCCTGACCCTCACCTTGACCCTCACCTTGACCCTCACCCTCACCCTGACCCTCACCTTGACCCTCACCTTGACCCTCACCCTCACCTTGACCCTCACCTTGACCCTGACCCTCACCCTGTAGTTTTACTGCAAAGAAACTGAATTCGAAGCGTTTGTCCAACGGAAACCACTGCTCTGACACATTTCAATATAACCAAACTTTTATTTTTGTGTGTGTGTGTGTGTGTGTGTCTGTGTGTGTGTCTGTGTGCGTGTCTGTGTCTGTGTGTTTGTGTGTTAGAGTGTGACCCTGATCGCTGTGAGGTTGTGTTGCCATCGTGTCGAGACGATCAGACTCTGATCTCAACCAGAACCGACGAGAGCTGCTGCCTCACACACATGTGCTGTAAGTATACACACACACGCAAACACACACACGTGCTGTAAGTACATACACACATGTGCTGTAAGTACACACACACACACATGTGCTGTAAGTACATACACACATGTGCTGTAAGTACACACACACACACATGTGCTGTAAGTACACACACACACACACACATGTGCTGTAAGTACATACACACATGTGCTGTAAGTACACACACACACACACGCACACACACTTTCTGATTCTGGCCTCTCACCCTGACCTCTGACCCCTCACCCTGACCTTTGACCCTGACCTCTGACCCCTCACCCTGACCTCTGACATCTCATCCTGACCTCTGACCCTTCACCCTAACCTCTCACCTCTGACCTCTGACCCTGCCTGTGTCCAGTGTGTGCCCCCTGCTCGGTCGTGCCCCCGGTCTGTGATGAGGGAGAGACACTGAGGGTCGACCTCAACACGACTGACCGCTGCTGCCCCCTCTACAGCTGTGGTCAGTGATGTCACATGTTACACCTGTGGTCAGTGATGTCACATGTTACAGCTGTGGTCAGTGATATCACATGTTACAGCTGCGGTCAGTGATGTCACATGTTACACCTGTGGTCAGTGATGTCACATGTTACACCTGTGGTCAGTGATGTCACATGTTACAGCTGTGGTCAGTGATGTCACATGTTACACCTGTGGTCAGTGATGTCACATGTTACAGCTGCGGTCAGTGATGTCACATGTTACACCTGTGGTCAGTGATGTCACATGTTACAGCTGTGGTCAGTGATGTCACATGTTACAGTTGCGGTCAGTGATGTCACATGTTACAGGTGCGGTCAGTGATGTCACATGTTACACCTGTGGTCAGTGATGTCACATGTTACACCTGTGGTCAGTGATGTCACATGTTACAGCTGTGGTCAGTGATGTCACATGTTACAGCTGCGGTCAATGATGTCACATGTTACAGCTGTGGTCAGTGATGTCACATGTTACAGCTGTGGTCAGTGATGTCACATGTTACACCTGTGGTCAGTGATGTCACATGTTACAGCTGTGGTCAGTGATGTCACATGTTACAGTTGCGGTCAGTGATGTCACATGTTACAGCTGTGGTCAGTGATGTCACATGTTACAGCTGCGGTCAGTGATGTCACATGTTACAGCTGTGGTCAGTGATGTCACATGTTACAGCTGCGGTCAGTGATGTCACATGTTACAGTTGCGGTCAGTGATGTCACATGTTACAGTTGCGGTCAGTGATGTCACATGTTACAGCTGTGGTCAGTGATGTCACATGTTACAGTTGCGGTCAGTGATGTCACATGTTACAGCTGTGGTCAGTGATGTCACATGTTACAGTTGCGGTCAGTGATGTCACATGTTACAGCTGTGGTCAGTGATGTCACATGTTACAGCTGCGGTCAGTGATGTCACATGTTACAGTTGCGGTCAATGATGTCACATGTTACAGCTGTGGTCAGTGATGTCACATGTTACAGTTGCGGTCAGTGATGTCACATGTTACAGCTGTGGTCAGTGATGTCACATGTTACAGCTGCGGTCAGTGATGTCACATGTTACAGTTGCGGTCAGTGATGTCACATGTTACAGTTGCGGTCAGTGATGTCACATGTTACAGCTGTGGTCAGTGATGTCACATGTATACTTCATATATATACTAATACTGTATAAACCTGTATATACCACAGAGTGACCGACACAGATGTCCTGTGACCTTCTGTATACTTATATATACTGATACATACTGTTATAGACCTATATATATACCTGTATATATACTAATATATACCTGTGTATATACTAATATATACCTGTGTATATACTAATATATACCTGTGTATATACTAATATATACCTGTGTATATACTAATATATACCTCTATATATACTAATTAGGGCTGTCGAAATTATCGGGTTAACTCACGTTAATTACATTTTTTATTAACGCGTTATTTTTTTTAAACGCATTAACGCATTTCCGAATGACCCGCCCATTTATCCGTAAGAATATCACTCAGAATGCTGCGTGTGAGATGGCCTCCTCCGTGGCCGCTCTGGTTGTTGTTAGCGGCTGTGAGTGAGCGCAAGCTTTGCACGGGCTGCAAACATGGATCTAGCTATTATAATAACAGCAGCAAGCGATTGCTCCGTTCACATACTCAGCGCTCTGCGAACTGTATTTTCCCTGGTTCTTGACTGTCAGGCGCACTCTGCGTACTGTATTTTCCCTGGTTCTTGTCTGTCAGGCGCACTCTGCGTACTGTATTTTCCCTGGTTCTTGTCTGTCAGGCGCGCTCTGCGCACTGTAATTTCCCTGGTTCTTGTCTGTCAGGCGCGCTCTGTGCACTGTATTCTCCCTGGTTCTTGTCTGTCAGGCGCGCTCTGCGCACTGTATTCTCCCTGGTTCTTGTCTGTCAGGCGCGCTCTGCGCACTGTATTCTCCCTGGTTCTTGTCTGTCAGGCGCGCTCTGCGCACTGTATTCTCCCTGGTTCTTGTCTGTCAGGCGCGCTCTGCGCACTGTATTCTCCCTGGTTCTTGTCTGTCAGGCGCGCTCTGCGTACTGTATTCTCCCTGGTTCTTGTCTGTCAGGCGCGCTCTGCGCACTGTATTCTCCCTGGTTCTTGTCTGTCAGGCGCGCTCTGCGTACTGTATTTTCCCTGGTTCTTGTCTGTCAGGCGCGCTCTGCGTACTGTATTTTCCCTGGTTCTTGTCTGTCAGGCGCGCTCTGCGTACTGTATTTTCCCTGGTTCTTGTCTGTCAGGCGCGCTCTGCGTACTGTATTTTCCCTGGTTCTTGTCTGTCAGGCGCGCTCTGCGTACTGTATTTTCCCTGGTTCTTGTCTGTCAGGCGCGCTCGGCGTACTGTATTTTCCCTGGTTCTTGTCTGTCAGGCGCGCTCTGCGTACTGTATTTTCCCTGGTTCTTGTCTGTCAGGCGTGAGTGTTGCTCGTGTGTGTCTTTGGGAACTAATTATTTTAAAATAGTCTCTTTCAATTGCAAGTTTTGTAATCTGTTTGTTTGATCAATGGATAAAAATAAATGCAATTTAATTAAATGGCACCTTGGCCTGTCTTATACCTGTTTGCCTGCAGGACAGTTCCCTAAACTAACATATCATACTAAAATAGGGTGGGGTTGTTGCAACAATTAATCTACTTAGAAGTTATCCTAAATTACAGCCAGCTAAAGCTCGGTACCACGCAATAGTTACTTTTACTGGTAAATAGTTACTTTTATAGTGGAGTAACTCAGTTAGTAAGTCAATTACTTTTTGGAAGAAGTACCTAGTACCTAGTAACTATAACTAATTACTTTTTCAAAGTAACTTACCCAACACTGGTAATTATATTTGATAATCTCATTTAACTTCAATTGGAGTGGATTTGAAATAGAATGTTAAACATGCGATTAATCGTGAGTTAACTCACCATTACTATGCGACTAAGCAACTAAAAAAATGTAATCGTTTGACAGCCCTAATACTAATATATACCTGTATACAGTGGGGTAAAAGTATTTAGTCAGCCTCTGATTGTGCAAGTTCTCCCACTTAAAATAATGACAGAGGTCTGTAATGTTCATCATAGGTTCACTTCAACTGTGAGAGACAAAATGAGAAAAAACATCCAGGAATTCACATTGTAGGATTTTTAAAGAATTTATTTGTAAATGATGGTGGAAAATAAGTATTTGGTCACTTCTCTGGCTCTCACAGACCTGTAACTTCTTCTTTAAGAAGCTCTTCTGTCCTCCACTCGTTACCTGTATTAATGGCTCCTGTTTGAACTCATCTGTATAAAAGACACCTGTCCACAGCCTCAAACAGTCAGACTCCAAACTCCACTATGGCCAAGACCAAAGAGCTGTCCAAGGACACCAGGAAAAGAATTGTAGACCTGCACCAGACTGGGAAGAGTGAATCTACAATAGGCAAGCAGCTTGGTGTGAACAAATCAACTGTGGGAGCAATTATCAGAAAATGGAAGACATACAAGACCACTGATAATCTCCCTCGATCTGGGGCTCCACGCAAGATCTCATCCCGTGGGGTCAAACTGATCATGAGAACGGTGATCAAAAGTCCCAGAACCACACGGGGGACCTGGTGAATGACCTGCAGAGAGCTCAGATCCTGCAGTGCCAGACGTGTCCCCCTGCTGAAGCCAGTGCATGTCCAGGCCCGTCTGAAGTTTGCCAGAGAGCACATGGATGATACAGCAGAGGATTGGGAGAATGTCATGTGGTCAGATGAAACCAAAGTACAACTGTTTGGTATAAACTCAACTCGTCGTGTTTGGAGGAAGAAGAACACCATACCTACTGTGAAGCATGGGGGTGGAAACGTCATGCTTTGGGGCTGTTTTTCTGCTAAGGGGACAGGACGACTGATCCGTGTTAAGGAAAGAATTAATGGGAACATGTATCGTGAGATTTTGAGCCAAAACCTCCTTCCATCAGTGAGAGCTTTGAAGATGAAACGTGGCTGGGTCTTCCAGCATGACAATGATCCCAAACACACGGGCAACGAAGGAGTGGCTCCGTAAGAAGCATTTGAAAGTCCTGGAGTGGCCTCGCCAGTCTCCAGACCTCAACCCCATTGAACATCTGTGGAGGGAGTTGAAAGTCTGTGTTCACTGCTCTCGAGAAGATCTGCATGGAGGAATGGGCCAAAATACCAGCTACTGTGTGTGCAAACCTGGTAAAGACCTATAGTAACCGTTTGACCTGTTATTGCCAACAAAGGTTATAT